GGAGGCCGCCCTGAGGGCCACAGGGATGGAGCTGTACGCTGTTCACCATGGGGGTGGACTCAGGGAGGGGGGACCAGAAGCAGCAGGTGGGCACCCAGCTCCGTGTCCCCGGCAGGGAATGCTGAGCTCTGAGGCCCGACTGACCGGCAGTCAGAGACGACCTGCCCTGACTTTACAGCTGCAGCCGGACCCCCAGTCTGGGGCTGCCTAGTGGCAGCAAACCCCTGAGGTTCAGTGGACATTATACTGGCCCCAGCAACTGATGCCCCATGTCCCTAAGCAGTCAGGGCTGGTCCCTGCCTTGTGTCTGGTCAGATGGTCTCCAGGCAGACAGGTGGGCAACAGTGGAGGTGCTCTAAGGAGGGAGCTCTCGGGACCCCTCTGTGGCCCTTGCATTTGGGGGTCCTTCTTGGTGGGTAGCTTTGGACACCTGGCTGAAGCTCAGACGTCTTCAAGGGAGGGGCTGGCAGCCAGGGGCTCCCTCCGGCAGTCCAGACTCACAGTGACTGGCCAAGGATCCAAATTTACCATCACTCTGGCCACCCCCGAAACATCAGTGCAGGGGTGAAAATGAAGGCTTCTGGGACAAGCCGCTTCCAGAAATTAAGTTCTGGTAAGACACAGCTGGGAAGGCTGTAAGCTGGAGGGGTGAGACGCTGGAATGGCCCCCGAGCAAGTGACAGCTGCCCTCCTTCTCTTGAGTTTTGAGAAAAGCTGGGGGTGAGGGGTGGGCTCCCCTCAGTTGGGGAACCCAGAGTCTGGTCTGTGTGCAGAAGCAACTTGATAATGATAAGGCACTGAGCTGGCTCCGCCACACTCCGCACTGTTCCAAACACTCTACAGGAATTAGCTCGTTTAATCCTCCCCAGAGCTGGTGTCACCCACGTGAGCTTTATCTCCATTCAGCAGATGGGGCGACTGAGGGCAGAGTTTGACCAGTCGCCCACAGCCGGCGTGAGTGCCTCAGACCGACACCTGCGACAGGACTCTCCTCCAAGGAGCCCACGGGCTTCCTGCTCAGGGGATGTGGGCCTGGACCCCAGCTCCCCTGACCAGTGGAGGAGCAGTGCCCGCTGCGTGCCTGTGCGATGATGGTTCATGTAGGGAACTCAGGATTCTATCTGTCCGGTGGGACGTGTTAACAGTCACCACTCACTGAGAGCTTACTTACCGTGTGGCCAAGTGTCATTAGCTCTGTTTTACAGATGAGACCCACCAGAGCGGGTCAGGTCACCCCATTATATGCTCTCCAAGCAACCTGTGTGCTCGCCTCAAACCCGTCATGGTTGTGGTTAATCACCCATGTAATTATCTAACTGAGTTACTCACTGGCCTGTAAGTGCCATGAAGGCAGCAACCAGCTCTGTTTTGTTCCCAGCGCCAAGCATAGAACAGACTCTCAAAAACTAAAGGCAGAATGACACAGAAACTGCTGCGCAGAGAGGCTGAGGAACTTGCCTCCGCCCTGGAACACAAAGTCCAAGCTGGCCGGGAAACGTGTGCTGTGTTCACACCGGTGTCCACAGTGAGCGGGACAGAGCCGGGCACAGGGCAGACCTCGCCAATAAGCACTGGCTGAATTGATAAAGTCATTCTCTGTAATTCGCGGCCTGGAGATCTGAACCCAGGTCTGTAGGGCTCCCAGCCTCTGGGCTTCCCAGGTGTCGCTAATGGTAAAGAACATGCCTGACAATGCAGGACACATAAGAGAGTCGAGTTCGATCCCTAGGTCAAGAAGATCCCCTGGAGGAGGGCATGGCAACCCTCTCCAGTATTCTTGCCTGGAGAATCCCATGGACAGAGGAGCCTGGTGGGCTACAAGTCCATAGGGTCGCAGAGTTGGACATGACTCTAGTGACTTGGTATGCATGCCTGCTTCCTACGTTAACATCGCCCTGTACCGAGTAAACACCCACAGCTTGTTCCCTGTGGCTGCTGTTTCGGTTTGGAAAGCATATCCACATCACCCTGACCCCTGAGTTGTCTGGCTCATGAAAAGCAAGCCCAGCTGTAGCTGGACCTGACATCGGAACGTCCAACGACCCAGTCCAACGACCCAGCTTCAACGCCAGGTGAAACAGTTTCTCCTTTCCCACAGCCTTCGACCACCCACGAGGACATTCTGCCCAGGGAGGGGGCGCTCTGCCTGGGAGGGGTCGATGAGCCACTCTCCCAGCCCCAGAGCCCCAGCCTCCTTCCCACCATCCTAACCATCCCCCCGAACTCCCAGCCGGTCTGCTGTTCCGCCTACTTCCTCTGAGGGGTCCCAGCTGAGAGACATCAGAGCCCGGGGAGAGCATGAAGGGGCATGAGAGGTCAGGTGTGCCTGGGGTGGGGCGTGCCGGCCTGGAGAGGACAGGGTGGGGGCTCCTGCAGGTCTCTGCCACGCCAGGGACAGCCCTGTGGCATCTGCCTGAAGCCGCCTGAGGGCGGAAGGCCACAGTGTAAGGTCAGGGAGTCTGGCCCCACCTCCAGAAAGGGTCTCCCTGCCCCCGCAGGTGCGCAACGAGGTACGTGCTATGCCCGGGGATAGAGCCAGCAGCACTCAGATGAAGCCAGCTGCGAGCTCTTCTGTGGGGAAACACCAGCACCTTTCTCTTTCCCGGTCCTGATCTGTGGGCAGCAGACCCTGAAGCTGAAACACTGAAAGTTGTATTTGCATAACCCGCCCTCTCAACCTAAAAGCTGTTGTCTTTAAAAAAAGTCCTGGACTGCTGGACGAAACTCTCAGCAGAGTAGTCGGGCTCCTCCTCCCGGGGATGGGGGCCAGGTCCACATGAGGCTAGACGTGGAACACTTATCTCTTTCCCCTGCTTCAGCTTTCCAGAAGCTCCCAGCTCCTTCTTGGAGAAGGGGAGCATGCGAACCTTAAGCCTAACAGGGGCCAGAAAAAGCTAAGCCCCCCTGGGGCATCTGCCTGAGAGCCAACCTGGCAGAGGCTAGTCCCGGGAGGAGAGGAGCCCAGGGAGAGGACCCTGCAGCTCTGGTCACTCCCCAGGGTCGTTGGAGAGCAGGGGCCTGGGCCGAGCCCTCTGGGCGGCTGCCGCGTGCCTGGCCAGGACCCCTGGCACTGATTCACTTGGGTGCCCAGACCCATGCTGCAGCTTGCAGGGCCTGCCAGGCTGCGGCTCACCAGGACACCAGGCACGTCCCACTGCATCAGAGCTGCCCTGCCCCTCCCACTGGCCCCCAGGCTGGGCCTTAGGGGCCCTGGGGACGGCTCTTCCCTCTGGCTTCTCTAGGGGTAACAGAGATTCAGCCTAGAGGTCAGACGTAGCCCTAAGCAGGGGGAGATGACTTGGGAGGGTTAAGGGTGCCCTGCTCTTAACGGTCACACCCTCTGATGAAGTACCCAGGTTCCTGGGGGCCGGTTCCGTGGAAGGAGGACACTCTGTTACACATGGGAACCTCCCCTCAGGGGGGCAGCGGGGCTGGGGAGGGCGCCCTCCAGCTCCCCATCAGACCCTAGCCCACCTTCCTCTGAGTGTCCCCAGATCCTAAGGTCCTTCTGTCCCCCAGCCCATCACTGCAGTGCCCCGTCCTGGGTCAGCGCCTCCTTGTCCTTGCGCTCCTGTATCTCTGCCACCACCAGGGAAAGCAGCTCTCCTCTCCCTGACAGGGGAGAGGGTGTGCTACAGAGGGAGAAACCAGGCTTTGGTGCCCCCCACACCATGGGCCGGGGGTGGGGGGGGGTGTCCTTGCCGCACCTGTGGCATGTGGGGATGAAAATGGGGAAGGAGAAGGGATAAGCCATGTCTCTGGAGTTAAAAAATAACCACTCTGTGCCCAGATTTGGGGCAGGAACAGAGGCGGAGGTGGGGGTAAATGATAGGGGTCCAGAGAGGGGGAGGGGCGTCTGGAGCCTGGGTACCCAGCAGGGAGGAGGGCTGGGCTGCCCAGTGTGGGGAGAGCTGCGGGGTGGCGGGAGTGCTGCCCAGCGCGGGGGAGGGCTGCAGCGCTACGGGACGTCCTAGGTCTGCTGAGTCATGAGATTTGGAAGAGGTGAGGGGCGCCTGCACCCCCTGGCATCCCTGCCCCAGCTCCTCCAGACCCTCGATTGCAGACCACACCCGTGGTTTGCCTCCCCGCCGTCTCCCCGATCCAGGGTCTCTACCTCCTGGAGCTCAGGACCCTCCCTGCTCTCCACCCCACCCCACGACGGCGGGGCCGAGTGTCCCCGAAGCTTGAGGTGGAGGCAAAGAGAACCTCGGCTGGAGACCGCTCAGGCGCGCAGCGGTGGGCGAGACGGGAGTGGGGACGTCCCCGAGGCGCGGAAGAGGGTCGGGGGCGCAGAGCCCGGGGGCGCAGCGGAGTCGGCCCGGCCTTCTGCTCTGCAGCTTGTCCCGGGGAACCCAGGGTGGAAGCTGCCCCCTCCTCCCGCCCCAAACCCGCAGATCAGCGGCTCCCTGCCTCTCGGGTCCGGCTCCCCAGACGCCTCATCTGGACGAGCGCAAACTCCCCCAAAGGACGGTGCGGGAGCCCGGGACCCCCGGCCTCAAAGCTCCGCGACCGCCCGCCCCCGGGAGTGGACCCCACCCGCGGCCCCTCGGTGAGGAGCAGAAACTTCTGAGGAGGCGGTCGGCGCCCCTCACTGCGGCGGTAGGACTCACCGAGGTGGCCGGCCAGGAGGGACCCGCGTCCCCGAAGTGAGGGCCGGCGGGCTGCCGGCGACGGCCGAGGGGGCGTCCGCTCGGCCCGGAGTCCCGCGGCGCCCCGGCCCCAACTCGGCCGGAGTGTCTTTGCCGCAAGACTTGCTGAGCTTGCAGCCTGCGCCGCGGCGAGGGAGGCGCGCGACCCGCCGAGCGCGCTGCAGTGCGGGGAGGCGATGGGGGCGGGACAGGGGCGGGGCCAGGAGGAAGCGGGGCGGAGCCGGGGCGGGGACCGGCA